GGAGCAGCAGGTGGGAAATCCTCCCTCCACGTGAGCAGGGACTCAGAAGGATCTGCAGAGATTTTTCCACTGCACAGAGGGTTCCAGCCTGCTTCAATTGTTCTTTTTCTGCTCTCCAATCACTGTTTGCACCCTTGTTTTTGCAGAAATCAGTCCTGATTGAGCATGGCATTCGGAGGCTGACGTTCCTTGTGGCACAAAAGGTATTTCCACATCTCTCCCAATGCTCACACCTCCCTGTCTTCTACATTGGCATCTGACATGGTTTCCCCCAAATTTAATGCTGTATTTATTGTGTTTAGTTCTCTCTTCACTGTTTTTATCTTCTAAAACTCGAGATGGTTTTCATGAATTCGCTTAAGAGAATTAATTTACAATTGTACGCAATCTTGACGCCTCTTGTATTCTTGAATTAATTAATTTTTGATTTTAATCCTAATTGCTAGCTGTCTTCTGCTTTGTTTTTTTTTCTTCCTATGTGTGTATGTTTCGTTTGTAAGGACTTCAGGAAACAGGTCAACTATGAGGTGGACCAGAGATTCCATGTAAGTACAAAGGGCCTGGAGCAGGGTGGCATTGCTGCTGCGAGGCCAGGGGACACCCAGGGGGCTCTGGCCTTCTCATTTGGACCTCAGGCAGGCAATTCATGCCCAATCCTGCCAAAGTGAAGAGCTGAAGTATTTATGTATTGAAGTATTTATAGCATTTATTTGGAAATCTGGCTGCAAACCCAGGCTGTGCCCGTGCATTGAGAGTGTCCCTGGTTACCTGGCTGAGCTCAGGGAGCCACTCTGACAGAGATTTCCTTGTGTTCCAGTGGTTCTTGTGTTCCCTTTCTGTTCCAAAGTGCAATTATCAGTGAAACCTTTGTATTTCCTCTGTAGTGTGGTGATTCCTTTTGGCCTCTTACTGATTTTAAAACAACTTCGGTCACTGGAGGGACTTGTTAAATTTTCCAGAATGGTTTTGTGGTGTGGGAAATGTTTGGTGCTCTTACTGCTGGGAATTCCTTCTTTCCCCAGGGCCTGGGCATCAGTGGGGTCTGGTTTAGGTGGCAATGTAAGGCATAAACCAGATTTTTATCTCTTGGG